CGTTATTGTCCATGTATTTTTGCTGTGCGTTCGTTACTGCATCCTTTTTTATCAGTATTGCCACCCCCCTCTCCCACTGTGTGCCATTGTTAAAGAAAATAACTCCCCCCCAAAGTTTCTGTGCATGTGGCACACTTTCCATAGTCCAGTGTGTTTCCTGCAGGCAAATGATGTCCGCCTGTAAGCTAAAGAAAAGTTGTTCCATCCTGTGTCTGTTCCTGAGTCCATTGCAATTAATGGATGCTACATGTATGTGTCCTGTCATATTGCATCCTTATGAGTTGCCTGTGTGTGTGTGCACCTTATTTTTCATACCTTTCTTTTCACGATTTTCATCCTGTTAGTGTGTGATATGCGCCTCTTCCTCACGGCTCTCGCCGCTGCTTCCTCGTCCGTCTCCTCGTCTCCCGTATCCCCGTTCTCGGACTCCTCCTCCATTTCAGCATGGTCTAGGTGGCTACCCTGTCCGACCACGCTGTCCGGCTCCGGCCCCGTTGCTGCGCCCTTCTGTCCTTTCCCCGGACACCCTGGTGCTGCACTTCCAGCTGCCGCTCTCCCTCTCCCTCTTCGGGACACCCCCGCTGCTGCCGTCGGTCCCTGCTGGCCCACTCTCGGCTGCCCCTGGGCTGCCATCAGTGCTGCTGCTCGCTCCCCCGGGGCTGCTGCCGGCGCCTCTGCCGGCTCCACCGGACCTGCTGCTGGGCACGCTGACGGTGTCAGCTGGGCTGGCGCTGGATCCGCCGTCTGTCCAACCTGGGCTGCTGGCTGGGCTCCCATTTGCTCCGCCGGATCCGGTGCTGGTTCCTTTGGAGCAGCAACTGGCACTGCGCGGCTGTCTCCGGGTCCGCCGCATCTGTAGTCGCCTCCACCCGCGCCTCCATGTCCACCTCCTCCGCCCACCCCCGAGGAGGCGTCTCCCTCCCCGGAGGAAAACAGGACACCGCCAGCGTTGCTGCCCCTCTCCTCCTCACACACGCAGCGCAGCTGGGTTAGGGAATATGTGTGTGTGTCTGTTCGTAGAAGGGGGAGAAAAGAGGATAAAAGAGGATAAAAGAGAAATGCGTGCCTGAAGAGGCCGGATCACAGTCTGAATCCCGCGCCACAACTCGGAGTAATTCCCTTCATTCACAGAAACAAACCAATGGCCGAATTCAAGTTAATACGGCTTACACTGGCCTTTCTGATCAAAAGAGTAATACCCGGTTATAACGCTGTTACGATAACCACATATAGGACGCAGGGGTCCAAAACGGGAACAATAAGAGTTTTAAACAGGTAAAACTCAGGACGCAGCGGTCCAACAAAGAGAAATATTACAGTTCCTGCTTCAATCAAACAATTGTTAAAAACACTCTCTAAAGCTCATTCTGCTCAGACCTAATTAAGCCTCACTTGTGAATCGCTTTGCCCGCGATTGGTGAAAGGAGAAGAGTCCGGCAATAAAACAGATCTTCTGTCTGTCCTGGTGCAGAGGCGTCTGATGGTGGCGGGGGTCCCTTACGGCAAGAGCGGCTTTGTTGGTTCTCCGTCGAGTGGAAAGATGTCCCATGATGTCCTTTCGTTGCAGGACGGAATAAGACCGTTATCTTTCTGATAATCTGTTATAGTCTGATGCTCTCCGAGAAACTGAGATGCGTTCACTGGACAATCTGGAATTTCGAACACTGCCGGCCGCAGATTACCTGCGCGCCAAAACTTAAAACAAAGGAAGATTGTTGCAGGAAACAGGAGGTGAGCTTGGGTCTCCGAACACTTGAAGTCAGCACGTGGAAAGAGAAAGAACAATGGAAGTCTTGGAGCTTTGTAGCCTGGCCTGCTCCATAGGGGGTCTACCTCAGGTCCCCTCCAATGAGGAGAGAGAGGTTCCGGTCCCCCCTTACTTCACGCGTAGGTGTGAAGTACCGCAGGGGATTCTGGGATTAAGAGTCATTTTAGGCCTCTTTGTGATCTCAGTGAATAACTCAAATGAGGCTTCTCAGAGGTGCAGGCCCAAGTCCATGGGTGACTGTCCTAAGCCTGCGTGGCCCAACAGCAGTAATGAATTCCTTAGCTTTTTCAACAACAAAATTCTAGACTTCAGAGACAAAATTAGTAACCTCCTGCCCTTACCTGGTGCAGATACGTCTGATACGGCAGAGACAGTTCCAGGACCAGATATTAGTCTAGACTGTTTTTCTCCAATCGACCTTTCAGAGCTAAATTCAATTATTTCTGCGTCGAAATGTCAACCTGTCTTTTAGACCCAATTCCAACCAAGCTGTTTAAGGAAGTCTTTCCCTTAGTTAGTAACTCTATCTTAGATATGATCAATATGTCTTTACTGGCAGGCTATGTACCACAGTCATTTAAAGTAGCGGTAATCAAACCTCTACTCAAAAAACCTACTCTAGATTCAGGAACTCTAGCTAACTATAGGCCTATATCCAACCTTCCTTTTATCTCAAAGATCCTGGAGAAAGTGGTAGCTAATCAGCTGTGTGTCTTTCTCCATGACAACAGTTTATTTGAGGAGATTCAGTCAGGATTTAGAGTCCACCATAGCACTGAGACTGCACTAGTTAAAGTTACAACTACTATCTACTTCTAGCTTCAGACAGGGGACTTCTCTCTGTGCTCGTCTTGTTAGATCTTAGTGCTGCTTTTGACACCATTGACCATCAGATCCTATTATACAGACTAGAACATTTACTTGGAATTACAGGGACTGCTTTAAGTTGGTTTGAATCCTACTTATCAGACCGATCTCAGTTCGTACATGTTAATGATAAGTCCTCTATGCACACCAAAGTTAGCCATGGAGTGCCACAAGGTTCAGTGCTTGGACCAATTCTCTGTACATTATATATGCTTCCTCTGGGAAATATTATGAGGAAACACTCCATACAGGTTCATTGTTATGCAGATGATACTCAGCTGTATGTATCAATGAAGCCCGATGGCACCAGTCAGTTATGTAAGCTAGAAATGTGCCTTAAGGATGTTAGGACCTGGATAACCAGAAATGTTTTGCTACTTAACTCAGACAAGACTGAAGTTATTGTGCTAGGCCCTAAAAATCTCAGAGAGACTGCTTTGACTGTCCTTAATGACATCAGCCTGGCATCTAGCACCACTGTTAGGAATCTAGGAGTTCTATTTGATCAAGATATGTCCTTTAGCTCTCACATCAGACAAATTTCAAGAACAGCCTATTTTCACCTTCGTAATATATCCAAGATCAGGAATATCCTGTCGCAAAATGATGCAGAAAAACTTGTTCATGTATTTGTTACCTCCAGATTGGATTATTGTAATTCGCTTTTGTCAGGGTGCTCTGGTAAGTCTCTAAAGACTCTTCAACTAGTCCAGAACGCTGCAGCTCGTGTACTGACTAGAACTAGGACAAGGGACCACATTACTTCTGTGTTGACTTCTCTGCACTGGCTCCCTATACAGTCTAGAATAGAATCCAAGATCCTTTTTCTCACTTACAAAGCTTTAAATGGCCAGGCACCATCTTATCTTAAGGAGCTACTAGTGCCGTACTGCCCCTCGAGAACATTACGGTCCCAGAATGCAGGCCAAGTGTACTATGGGAGGTAAAGCCTTCAGTTATCGGGCTCCTCTCCTCTGGAATCGTCTTCTAGCCGGGGTCCGGGAGGCAGACACAGTCTGTATTTTTAAGAATAGACTTAAAACTTTCCTTTTTGATAAATCTTATAGTTAAGGCTGGTGCTGGTGTAGACCAGCTCTTAGTTATGCTGCTATAGGCTTAGACTACCGGGGGAACTGGCACCTTGAGCTCCTCTCTCTCTCTCTCTCTCTCTGTGCATATACAGTACATCATATTACTGCATGTATCTATCTGTAAATCTCAGTCACTAACCACCTACTTTTCTGGGAGCTCTTGAGCTCTCTTAGGCTCCTCGAGATCGTTTGGTTGACGGCCTGCCAGAACAACCCCCCCCCCCCGGATTGTTGATGGACGGCTTGCCTCCCCCCACCCCCTTGCTCCCTATCCCTCTTCCTGCATCTTATCCCATCTCTCCCCCTATCCCTTTCCAAGCCTGGCACAGTCTGGGCCTGTGAAGGCTGTTTCATCATGAGCCAGGGATCTGGCCGAAGATTTCTGCCTTTTAATAACGTAGTTTTTTCTTACCACTGTAACTTTTGCTGCTTTGTTAAAGTGCTCATGATGGATAGGCCGGGTCTTTGTAATATAGCAATAAGTAAGGTCTTTTACCCGCTTTTTGTAACATAACAATGACAATGGTCTTTCACCTGCTTTTTGTAACATAACAATGAGTATGGTCTTTTTACCTGCTCTTTTGTAATGTTAAAAGACAAAGAGTAAGGTATTTTACATGCTTTTTGTAAAGTGTTTCGAGATAACACTTGTTATGAGTTGACGCTATACAAATAAAAATTGATTGATTGATTGATTGATTGAATTTGTAATCTACATTTTCACAGTCCATATTGTTATATTTGATGTTCAAGTTTCTCCATAAATGCTTTGTGTTTAGGTCAGGGAAGAGCTGTAGCCACATGCCAACACTGGTTCTCGGCTCCTCTCTAAACACAACCAGTACGCTTTCCTTACCTTAAGTTTTGCTAAATGACACCCTTCACTTACCTTCCCTATATATATCTCAGGGATTTTTGTCTCACCTGGTTCTATTGTTTCCTTAAAGGTCCCATATTATGCTTTTTCTGGTTTTATATGCTCTTTAGTGTGTTTTCCATGTGTCCTGTGCATGTTTAGGCACATCTATGTGCAAAAATTCAAAGTCTGCGGAAACGCGGCTTCTCCTACGTCCTCCTGTTAGCTGTAGCTGCATGTAACACTCGGTTCTAGCCCCCCTCGATAAAAATTTGTCAGTGCGGCGTCATTGTCAGTGTGAGATCACTGATCTAAGCCCATTGGCTCGTTGTGGCAAGCCCTGCAGCTCATGTTGAAATTTCCAAGAAGCATGCTGAGCAACTGACCAATAACAACAGAGCAGATCGGCAGACCAATCAGAGCAGACTTGGCCCACATGGGGTCTAACAGTGGGGGCTCAACAGCTTGCAGCTGATGGACTCAGAGCATAGAGGGTGCAAGGAGGAGTAGTACATGAAAACAGACACTTTTTTCGAACTTTAGCTATTGTGAACGTACAAAAGTAGGTACATAGATTAAATATAAGAACCCCAAAAAGGGCATAATATGGGCTCTTTAACTATTTTTTCTCTCCATTTTGGTGGCATGCTACATCTAATATTATCACATACATTATCAACTGTCTTCCTACTTACCCCATCTTCCAGCTCACTAACGGCATCATACACGGCCCTATTTGGCAGGAAGCCGGGTATGTACTCGTACACCATGTCCTTTACCTGCCTTATCCCTGCCGCACTAAACAACCTATTATAAAAGACCTTACCCTCCTTCTGTATTTTTGGGTTAAAGAAGATTGGCTGGTTGACCACCTGGTTGAAGCTGTGACACTCGTACACCAGGTGGCCCAGCATGTCTGTCCAGTCCAACAGGACCTCCTGATAGAACCTTGGTATTTGATCTACATTTGTCCTTTTATAACCCATAAACACACTGTGCTCCCCACACCTGTACAAATACTCACTCATAAATCCTTTCCAACCATACTCTACCTTACTGTATAAATACTTTACCATTGTTTTGCCTCTCATTGCTTTTGTTTTCGCTACTAAGTCTACTAACTGTAAACCTCCCTCTCTATAACTTGCAGATAGCGTTTTCCTGGAGATCCTCACTCCTTTGCAGCATTAATTTCCTTTACCACCCAATCTGGCAAATCTTTAGCACCCAACACATAAATTACTTTCGACATCACGTTCACATCCACATTTGTGGAAGAACAGTCACAAAAGAGACAAATCTGCGTCTCTTTTAGAGGCTGCGTCGCATGGTATGCTGCTGTCTGACACATCGGTAAGTTTCCAATTACTATTTAATGTTAATGAAATTAAAGTATGTCAAAGTTTTGGAAGTTTGTGTTCATCTGAGAAATATGATGATTTATTTAGTTAGGCTTTGGTTTAAAGTAATGTAAAGTTGAATAGCTAGCTAGCTAACATTAATATAGTCAACACTAACAGCCGCTATCCCCGCTCAAAATAAAAAATTAAATAGTCATACAGTGATATGTTTAGTCACAGGATGTAGGTCGGTTGATGAAAGCAAAGTGTTAAGGTAAACTCGACATTTATATAATCTACCAACTAAACCATTTTAAGAAAATCAACGATAAATGTTAAATGTTCAGGGGCTGACCATTGACCGCCTAAACCAAACCTCCATTGTGTTTTTGAGGTGTATTTCTACCTGGCTTATTACATAAATTACGCCAAGTTAAAATTAAATTCTGGAAATTATAGCAAGACCGTGGATAATTTAGGTGAAGTCGGCATGAAATCTGGTTGATTTACGTTGTGTTTAAAGTCAACTCGTCAACATTTTATTAACGTTTAAAACATTTTCCTGCAGTAGCTCGGCTCTGGGGAGAGAGTCAGAACTTAGCCATAGCACTGCTTTGTAACATATTATTGTCAGGGAGGTTATTTTTAGGGATTCATCAGTTAATCCGAATTTTCCTCATCGAAATTGTGATTGGCATGAATAATGAGGATCCGTGAGTTTTTAGATACATCTTTTGGAGGCAGCGGAAGGAGTGTTGCTAAACACCAGTAATTAGACGGTACCAGTTTTGTTGGCTAACCTGCACAAAATTCATATCGGAGCAGCTTCAGCAGTGAGCGCGATGATGATTTTATTTATTCCGACAGTAAGTAGCTGTGAGTGTCTGAGTGAATATGTAGACTGTATGTGTGTGGGGGGGGGGCTCAGAGTGACAACGGGTTGGTAAACGCCAGTTATTAGACGGTTCCAGTCCTGTTAGTTCGCCTTCAAAACACTCAGACCATTGTGGGGTGCCCAAACAGTCAATCGCGATCGACAGGTAGATCGCTGACTGATTCTCAGTCAATAGCGAGATGTTTAGTCAATATAAAATACAATTGTAAAATAGAAACGTGATTTCAATTTCATCTCATTGAAGTGTTTCCCACACATAGACGATACCTGGGTGGGGAGCCCAAGTATACTTCCGACCTGTTTGTATTTAGGGTAGGGTTAGGGTTGGGGTTATTTTTCATTTATTCATGAAATTGCTGTGTGCATGAGAGAGCGCGTGAGAGAGAGCGAGCGCGTGCGCAAGGACGTGCAGGTAAAACCTGGGTGGGTAAATGTTTTACCAAAAAGTCATCAATGTAGAAACTATGCTATGAGTATTAAGCGCATTTGATGTAGCTGCAGCTACTTTTCTCTGCTCCTCTCTGCTGTCATGACTGTGAGCATCGTGGGGCACGCTGAGACACACCAACATACAGCGCAAACGCACACACACACACACACACACACACACACACAGACTTGCACTGGAGCGCCAGCCACCACGCGAACCTTTTTACTTTTAGTGTTGCAGCACACAGTTGATCTGTGATTCGTACGGACTGAGGCGGGAACACACGTGATCCGGTCAAACGGTCGGTTCGACTTTACTTCGTTCACTCTCACCGTGTCTGGAGCTAATTTAACAAAAGCAACGTCATCTCACAGCAGCCTGCTGTAGTCTGTGAACATCTCCACACAGATTAAAGTTGTTTGTTGCAAACTAAATTAAGGGAAAATATGTGATATAAATACAAACGTAATATTAAAATGTACCCTAAAATAAGAGTTTAAAAAAAAGAATGTCGATATTGTATTATTTTTTACGACTCACAGAACTGTCATTTATTATATCTAAAATTATTTTCTGTTTGGAATCCGTGGAATCTATCAGAGTCCTTGTAACTTTTTATTTTATTTTTTCATTTTTAAAGATGAAAAAGAGACTTCATGACCTTTTAAATGACTAAAGTAACATGGAATTGTCTATTATTCCCTCTTCAAAGCCTACCACTAAAAGGGAAGGAGAGAGGCTCATTCTACAGTCCCTGCTTGAAAAAAAAGACCCACAAATTTTCAGGGAGTATGACACTGCAGGTACCCTGTCAGCACCATCGAGGAAGCTTCTTGTGAAGACCTGCATAGGAGATCTGGAACCGAACCGCACTTTTTTTTGGTAAACATTTTTGTGCATAATATCTAAAAAATGTTTTAAAACAGCCTTATTATTCTTTTAATACATTGAAGCAAAGTTATTAAAAATGGTTCCTCTGTCACTGGTATGTGTATTAAGTATAATTCAGTTGCTCAGTTTCTCCAAGGGTATTAAAGGTTGACCAATAATGAAAAAGTTGGTATTTTTTTCCCTTTTGAGATTATTTCTCTCAAAATTCTAAATATTAACTTCCATTTTAATTTCTATTAGGTTCCTTGTCAGCATAAATCCTGGCTCCAGCAAGTGCAGTGCCAAGGTCCAGACAAGCCGGAAAACAGGAAGAACTGAGGAAAACATCTGATATGAACCCCACGTTGTTTCATTCATCAGGGACTTCACTGAGTTTGATTGGCAGAATAATTAGATGGAGGTGAGCTTGGGATAATAATAATGTGGCCTTAAAAGCAGTGCTTTTTAGATTGTTTATCTGCATAGTGTCCCCTGTTGTGCCGTTCTGTGCCGAAAACGTGGAAACATGTTATTTTGTCTGTCTGAGATTGAGTTGTTCATTCGGTGCCTGTTTTGGCATCATGTTGAAAAAGTGATGAAAAGAAATACGATCACAAGTCTGTATATTGTGTCTAGCTTGACACGAACCTGCAGGGTACTCCTTGGAAATAGACTTGCAATAACCATGATTGTCGTAACAACAAGTGTTGTTGTTACCAACAATAAATAGTTAAAAATGTATTGTTTGCCTTCTTTCTGCACTGAACCTAAGTAAGTTACTTGTCAATTGCTGCCAGTTAATTACTGTGAATTTCACAGTCGTCTTTTTACAGTGCATGATACAAACCTTTTACCTACACTGAGCCTCTCCAGTATGGTGGCTGGGAAGTTCAAAGCAAAATTACAAAGTGGGAAACACTTTTACAAAATCTGAAACAAATTTACATTTTTAAAAACATTTTTACTTGACCTCTAACTCCTTCACTTCCGGTTCCCTTTCTTTCAGGATTCTGTCGTTTGTAAATTTGTTTGTGGACTGGTGAAAGTGTTCTGCCACTTGTACATTTGTCTCAGTGATTGTGAAGTGTCTAGCTTGACACGAACCTGAAGTGAAGTGTTTTGGTTTTGTAATTTTGTTTTATAAATGTAAAAATGTTTTTCAAAATGTAAATTTGTTTCAGATTTTGCAAAAGTGTTTCAGATTTTGTAATTTTGCTTTGCACTTCCCAGCCACCGTAGGGTCTGCACCAATTACTGTATTCACTAACCATAACTGTTGGAGCCATGGATTGATATAATTGTCTTTGTGGTATTTATTTAAGGTTAAGGTAGTCTGTTATATATTGGTGTTTTGGGTTATTGATTATTATATCATTTATTAGGATTGTGTTGAGTGGGGGGATGTCGGGTCACATGGTTATGGGCGGAGATGTGTTGATTTAACTCACCTGTTCACCTTTTGTTTTCAGTGGAAGAGAGGGGGTGAGCTGGGTTGCCGTATTTTTTGTTGACTGCTATTGTTTCTGGCTCACTGTGATTATGAGTTAATGCACGTTATTATAAGTTAAGTTGATTATCTTTTTTACGTTAATAAAAAAGTCAAACTTATTTTTACGTATCACAGTATTCTTTTGAAAGCACGTCAGACAAATATATTATGCCCAACCTTAGCCTCTCAGCAGCTTCATATTCAGGAACGCCGCTACAATGCCTGGCCATGTTGTTTGGCCTGGTACTGCTGTTGTTTTGTGTTTCAGGGTTTGGCGTCATCTGGTGGTTGGTGGTGGCATGCCTGCTGGTTGTTGGGAGACCAGCCAGGCTGCCACAGCTTTCTGTCTCTCTTCCTCTGGACAGAATAGACTTATTTCCCTCTGCCCTTGTATTTTTGTGTTGTTTTGAAATAAACTAAACTTAAGAAGCAAGTTGACTGTGTGGACCTCCATTCAATGTTAGGGCCTACATGAGTTGGTCATAACAGTTCTTCTTAAAAAGTGTATTGTCTCACGAAAAACTACAACAAACCAAACATTTATATTCATACTGTTCGAATATAATGACCTTTTGAAAAGTCAGTACTGTGTGTCATCTTTCTGTATATTGTTTTTGGCCTTTCTCAGTTGAACATGTTATTAGTGGTTTACAGGAAAGGCTTAATTTTTTTTTCTGTGTCACCCTTTCTTCTTTGTGGGAGTATGTTTGATGCCCGTGTAGCGAAATGAGGCGACAGGATGGTTCCGTTCATTGAAGTGTCTTGCGACAGGGCTATGAGTGTCACATGTGCGAATTGTGCAATTCAACATATAGATCACATTGGTCGTTGAGCATGTTATTTTGCCTTTGATTTGAATGGATTTGCCGCTGTGTGGATGCTTAAAGTGAGTGTTATTAGTTGTGAAGTTGCACTGCGTGCATGAGTTGCATCTGAAATTTCCTTGTATGTTATCCAGGAAGCTGTCAGGTCTTTTTGGTGCCAGATCTGAATGCACTATCATGTCACCTGTGTTTGAGGCTCGTCTGTGGGTTATCTGTGGTTGTGAGCTGAAGGTATTGTTCAAAAACATGAAAAACAAAACTTTTTTTTCTGTTCTACACCTTTTATTTGAAGTTGTTATTCACTCTTTTCAGATTGTGTGCAAAGCAGTGTACTGTGCGAAATATAGTACACCTCACTCTCTCTCTCTCTTTCATGCTATACGAGTCACCTATATAGCATGCACAACATTGCTTATGCCACCAGCTTAGAGTTACCACTCACTCACATGCACAGCATCCAGATATAAACATGTAGGTCGCGGGTGCTCTGTACTGGGTTGTTCTCTCTTATAATAGACTAAACACACAGGGACTTAAAAACATCTTTCTCCAGTATAATAAACTAAACACACAGTGACTTAAAACATCTTTCTCTAGTATAATAAACTAAACACACAGTGACTTAAAAACATCTTTCTCTAGTATAATAAACTAAACACACAGTGACTTAAAGACATCTTTCTCTAGTATAATAAACTAAACACACAGAGACTTAAAAACATCTTTCTCAAGTATAATAAACTAAACACACAGAGACTTAAAAACATCTTTCTCTCTCTTATAATAAACTAAACACACAGAGACTTAAAAACATATTTCTCTCTTATAATAAACTAAACACACAGAGACTTAAAAACATCTTTCTCTAGTATAATAAACTAAACACACAGTGACTTAAAAACCTCTTTCTCTAGTATAATAAACTAAACACAGTGACTTAAAAAAATATTTCTCTAGTATAATAAACTAAACACTCAGTGACTTAAAGACATCTTTCTCTAGTATAATAAACTAAACACACAGATACTTAAAAACATCTTTCTCTTGTATAATAAACTAAACACACAGAAACACACTTATTACCTGTGAAAAAGGCGCCCTCTAGTGACTAATTAGCAGGACATGCACATGGCATTAAGATAGGTAGTCACTGTGAAATATGACCAGTAGAGGGCAGTGCTGCCTTACTAATGTAAATTAATAAGCTATTTTGATATGCTCAGAAGCCTGTCATACGATGTCTTTGCTGTGAACTGTATCTGTTAGTGAAGAAGTCTGTTTATACTTTTTTTTTTTTAAGATTTATGTTGGGCTTTTTTGTGCCTTTAATACAGAGGGAGGACAGTGGATAGAGTCGAAAACCAGGGAGAGAGAGCGGGGAATGACATGTGGAAAGGGGCCACGGGTGGAGGTGAACCCGGGCCTGCTGCTCGAGACGAGAGTCTCAACACATGGGACGCGCGCCCTGCAACTGCGCCACCAGCGCGCCCCAGAAGTCTGTTTATAGTGACCTGTTTTGTGTATACTTTATGCAGAACCACTGATTCATCAGAGAACAGGATTTATGCAGCTGTGGTGGTGGTGGTGGTAACGAATAAACAAAGTGGAATTAAAGACGTGTGGTTCTTACCGATCACCTGCAGCGAGTTCTACACAATAAGATCCAGCATAGTTAAGCAGGAAAGCTACAGCTTTCTCACATTACCTATACTGTAGGCTACCTTTATAATTTATTAATTTTATCTTACAATGTAAAGATGTTCATAATGACATTGATGTCTAAAGCACTTTTTAAATCATACATAATGAGTTCATATTTATAAGACTGTTTGTCTCTGTCTATGAAAAAGTAGCCATGTAGAGTAATACAGAAAATTGAGGATGAATCGTGATGTATCGTGATATCGAATCATGAGACCTGCGAAGATGCACAGCTCTATTGTTGTGTGTGTGGCCGTCCCTTAGTGTTTGTGTCGCTGCACAGGGCATGAAACGGCTCGTCTGTGTGTGAGTCTGATCGCCTGAAATCTGCTATATTCTGCCCGGTTCCGGTCACATTCAATTCAATTCAAAAAACTTTATTCGTCCCCGGGTGCAATTCAAAGGCACACAGAGCAGTAGATTAACAACAGTGCAGGTAGACGAAACATTTTAAATATAAAATATAGTGTCAATTTAAATACAACTTAAAGCTTGTTGGGGTTGTATCAAGTCAACTTTGGTTGTATTCTTTAATAATTATATTTAATTATTAATAATATAAATAAAATATCATTAAACTATATTTAATCTCGTTTTGGGGCACCAACCTGTACTCAGGTAAATATAACCAAAATATCACTCAAATCAGTCTCAAATTAGTTATTTAATTACTAATATTATTAATAATTAATAACTATATTTAATCAATTGAAGGCGTGAAATTTGTACACAAAGCCTTCGCACCAAGCTTATATCACAATGCAAATACATCAGTAATAACAAACAACTGCTCTCTTAAATTATAACAGAATTCATTTAAACAAAGCAACATCAATCCAAAATCAATGAACTTAATCAAACAAATAACTATTATAAACTAATCTAAGCAACAAACATTATCAAGCAAGGCTTGTGGACGAGGTGTAACTGTGTGTGTGTGTGTGTGTGTGTGTGTGTGTGTGTGTGTGTGTGTGTGCGTGTATGTAGATGAGAGAGGGTTAGAGAGAGAGTGAGAAAACAAGATGGTGTAGAGAGATAATGCACCATGTGGCTTCGTCACATGGTGACAAAATGGTGGACAACAAAGGAAGCTGTATGGCTACCTTTTGAAATAGTTTGAGCTCTCTGAGTTGAGTTCAGTAACTGTTACTTAAACACCAGAAAGCCAGTGGCCGGGACTTTGATTCAACGGCGGGTACACTGGTCTTTCTGATTGTGAAAGCCGTTGACTGAAGGTAAACTAGCATAGCATTACATACATAGGCGAACACAGCGATTCATCACAATAAAACAAATGCAGCAGCTTACAACAGATAATAAACAGAATGTGACATGTCGTCAACAATGATGCATAATTATCAGTGGTTATAAAAGAAACATAACTATTTCCGAAACTATTTCTGCCCAGACCAAAGCTCTTACTTGGGGTAACTCCTGGTGATCGTTGCAAAGTTGGTTAGATCGTCACTCTGTTGAATGTTAAATCAACAGATTCAGGCAGGTTTCCTTCGTGGCAGATGTAGGAGGAGGGTAGCGGGATTCAGATCTTCGACCAGAGCGCTGCTCTATAGGGTCTTCTGGTTGTAGGAGCCAAGTTCTTTATGTGTCCTTGTGGATTCAGGGATCAGTGGGCTTCCTTCAGCGCTCCTGTCCAGTTGCGTTCAATGACGTCTTCCGAAAAATCAAAGGAAAGAAACTCTTCTTTTTGCTCGAACCTGATAGCATCTGATGGCACCCAAAACTCCTAAAAATATGCCGTGGAAGTAGTCAGCTGAATCCTCTGATGCTTGAATTCAGCATGTGAATGCTGAGCAACCTCAGCTCTGGAGTCTAACCTATGTAAGCCAAGAGGAGGAAAGGCTCTGTCTCGAATGCTGGAGTCCATCTTGTTGGAGAGTTTATCCTCGAGTGTCAGCAGACAACACTTGAAGAGGAGGAAGCAATGCCTGGCGATTGCTTTTAAAGACTGGAGCTGCCTGTGGGTTTACCTCAGGCCTCCTCCAATGAGGATAGAGAATTCAGACACCCCCCCCCCCACACACACACACACACACACTTTTCAGACCTATTTGTTAGTTTCTGTTGGGGGGCTGCTGGGCTAAGACCCCTTTGTTTAGTTGCCTTCAAAATAACTTTAGTCAGGCTCAAGACTGTGATACAGGCCTGAGTCCTTTGTCCCACACATATGGCTGAGGCCCAACAAGCTTAAACTTAACTTAAAATACAAAATATATAAAAAGAGTAGATATAAGCAGACAGTGATCGGACTAACAGATGTAAACAGAACTACATGCCAATCTCTCTGTGCACCCTTACCCCCAATTCACACATACTCCGTGCGCACCGTGGTCCGTCAGCTCCACGGTTTTGCTCCGTCGGATGGTGCGCGCCCATTCACACATGATCCATTTCTAAAATGTCAGAAATGTACATGATGTACACACATCACAGGAGAACTATAAGATCACGCAGGAATAAAGAGTTGGTTGCTCACGCCAGAGACGGACCGCAGCTCTCACTGTGTGAACACAATGATTGACTTGAGTGGCAGCTAATTAAGGCGTAGTGCTGACAGATCGCGGTGAGCATGGAGTATGTGTGAATTGAAGGTTAGTTCTCACTCCTGCTTTACTCAGCTAAATCCAGGTGTTCGATGCTGTGACCCCTCTACCCCTTGTGTACAACTCCAAGCAACACACAGAGGCCTTCAGCAATTAGGCATTTAAAAAAAGAAGCAAAACACAAGAAGCCTTAAACCAGATCAAGCTCTTATTTAATTTCAACCTGTTTAACTGTTGAATATTTTCATGAAATGTAGAAGATTTTGCGCCGTGAGGTGAGGAAATATAACAAAGCAAATCTTAACAGTCATGAAGTGTACATCAATTCTAATATATTCTTTATTTTAGCTTTCACAAGTCACAAGACACTACTGTATACATGATTAAATATGAGAATACAATCAGACAAAAAGTCATCATGAAATCATTAAATGGAAAAATATTTTTCTAACAAATGTACACTTTAGCGAATCCCTTAAACAGAACATCACTACTGCATGTTTCATTAAAGGTGGAGTCAGTAGCATTTCTGTTGTAGCTTGTAATACAACTGTAAAACTGGGCCCTGTCCTCCTGGACTCATCCCCCAGAAGCACACACTCACTGCAGGATGTAGTGTGTAAGTTTACTGCTTGTACATCCACTGCAAGCTATACCGCACGCCAGCACAAGCTAACCACCGGTGTTTGGCATCTACCTGTCCAACAGAAAGCAGGCCACCTCCGCGTGCCCAGCTAAAAGGCATCACAATGTCTACCAGGGACAGACTGGGACTACAAAACAGCCCTGGACTTTGACTCGGCCGGCCCACAACAATCGGTACACGGAAAGTCATCAACGCCGGCACGGGTGTCATAATACTTTAATCATGACTCATGACACTATACCATCCAAATTACAGCAATAGCACTGATGTTGATTATAACATCATCTATTCCATGCAATCTTATGATTACTTTATTACTCAATAGTCTTAATTTATTTAGCTTGCGACATTTAGCGGCTTCACATTTTTTTTCCCCTCGCCTTCTCAGCCCCACCCTATTCTTTGCGTTTTTTACCGACGTTATCCATATTTTTGTGCTTCACTACTACTACCAAAGATCGTCTTCGCTGCTACTACTTCTTCTTCTTCTTCTTCTTCTTCTTCTTTTCAATTAGCTGGTGGGCAGAGGCGGCTGCCGGCTGGCATCCAACTTAAAGACGCATTGTTGCCACCTACCGGACTGGAGTGTGAAACAGTAGATTAGGAGGGAGAAAAAAAAATGGTGATGACTGCGTGGCGGCCGCCGGCCGTCCTGGAGGACCGGCCGTTCTGTGATTCTCCAGAACATAAAGATGGCCAGTCCGCCCCTGATGTCCACCGTCGATTTGGAACGACGTTTATCCGGATGGTGTTTCGTAGGGGTGGGAATCACCAGAGGCCCCAAGAATTAAGGTTGCCACCCGTCTCGTAAAGTACGGAATCGTCCCATTTTTTTCACTTTGATATTGCGTCCCGTTTTGAATCAGTACGGGACGCGGTTTGTCCCGTATTTCCAAGATGCCTTGAACTCAGCATCATTCAGTTGGCTAGTTCCCGCCTCCTCGGAGCGTCCGTTGGTTTGTTTGGTTCTTTTTTGGCATTAGCAATGAGAGCTCTTTAGTGATTGGGTGAGAGAAAGTCATAGGAGTCAGAAGGAAACATGTCTGCAGGTGTCTCTGATTCCCGCACCGTGCACCATTGAAACGTAAACGGATGCAGAAATACAGACGTGAGTAGAAAGTAATGCCTGGCTTGACAGTGTCAGTGAAAATGAATATAATGTAAAGGAAACTACTGTAGGCCTACTTAATATATTTTATCCCATGTTTATAGATAGGTTATTCCAGTATAGTTTGGATAGTGTGAATATTTTTCGGTACATAAAACAAAAAGATGACATTTGTTTTAGCTAAATCTGTATTCACAGTATGTCCTGCGCGAGATATCATCAATACAACATCAATATATCGACAGTAGACACTTACTTAATACAGTAAGAAAATAATTCAAAACCATATCAATAGCATCATTCATGATTTCATGAGAAAACAACTAAAACGACAGACAGAAGGACAGAATAAATGAACTACTGTTGAATTCTTACTGTTTATTTAATTGAAAATCTGTCATCTTACTACTCTATACTACTACTATGTTACAGCAGTGTCAAAAGCACTTCAGTAATACTCTGTTAATGAATTAATGTTAAGTTAATAACTTTATTTGAAGTCGTGTTAGGTGCATTTCATTGTGCATACATTACTGTATCTGCCTTTACACTGAAATTGTGTGTTTTTGTAAATTATTTCAGAAAAAAAGTGTTGATAAAGTACTTAAAACTTTAAGTATGACTCTTATTACTTCATTAAAACCACGTTTTAAATCTTGATTCACCACAACTGGTGCCCCACCCCACCGTTGGGCCAGTGGTGGTCAGGCCCCTACTGAGTTGCACCCCGCTGCGGGGTGTCCTTTATTTTTCTGCTGAAGGTGGCAACCCTACCCTCAATGCAATATTATCACGATAACTGAGTCAAGATACAATATTATTGTGATTATTAACATTTTCAGATATGCTGAGAATTGCAATAAAATATATTGCGATTTAACTTTTTATAACTGCATATTATGTCCACAAAATTGAGCTAAAATAAGAGGACATTCTCAGTCTTTTCATCTCACTTCAATCTTTTTATTTCTGCCCAATGGGGAGTCAAGCCCCCAGACTGAGCAACACTGTGATTAAATGAGAACCCATTAAACCCATTACTTCAGTCTGATCAAGCTTTACTGGACACAAACACATACTGACAACTGCAGTAATTTTTAACAAATCATATTGTTCAAAATGAATTGTGCAACCCCTTCAGCAACTAAATGTTAGAAAAGCATATCTTTTATTAATATAATACAAATATGGATACTTGAGACGATATATTATCGCTACGCAAAATATAGCAATACTATGCTGTATCGATTTCTCCCCCAACTCTAGTGTTTCGCCTCACTATGATTTTCTCTTATTTTCTGACACATCCATGTCCACGTCCAGTCACTGAATTGTTTTAACTCCTAAAATCACCTGCATGCTGTCGTTGGCTTTGGGAAACACACCGGCTCCCCACTCAGAAATGTCCAGTGTTGACCAAAACATCAAAATCCAGGCAGAGAACATGGTCTCTGCAGATGCAGTCACATCCACACATGTATAGAGGCCCATAAGTGATGATTGAACTACGTTACTTTTGTATAGATCTATATTTTATTTTTTAGGAAAAAGCTACTGACTCTCTCTTTAAGTAATTAGGAATCAAGTTGTAACTGCAGTAATAAAAACATACAGCAGGAAACATTAGATATGCCTCCACACTTTCTCAATGCAACAACAAAGATTTGATCAGATTTTGCATAAGCAATCATTCAGGTTTTTTAAGTATTGTGCATGAAGATTGAATTCCCACCCAGAAACCAGGAAGAATCTTTTCATCAGTTGTGGTCTTCGCTCTGTGCAAAAGCCTGACCTCCCTCTCCCCCTCCTCCCCTGTTACAATATAAAAGTTAATAATCCCTGCAGGCTGATCAACGTAAACTCCAATAGTGGAGCAATATGGGACATTGGTTATATCTTTGAAATTGCAGTTGAACCAGATTTGGTAACGAGTTCCTGACCAACACAGACCCCAGGACTCCTCATTTTCTCCCAGCCCACTAGGCCCAGAGTTCGCCCTCCGTCCGGCTCCTTCATAGGTGGCCTACGATTGCCACCCAGCCCGAGTACTCAACCTCCCAGTAAGCCCTCGTTTTCCAGATAACCTGTTTGAACACCACCTTTGAGGACATAAAGGAATATCAAATACAAACAATTACAACATGTATTGTTTTCAAGGAGTCGACTGCATAGTATTATTTTCTGACCTACCTGTGGAGAGTACTCGTATCTCTCCGGTCTATCCAGGACGGAACAAACCTCCTCAGTCCTACGACACACCTTAGAAGCACTTTCGCCGATCCACAACATCTTGTTGGCAGTCTTGTTATCAAAAAACAAATTCATCCAATCTACAGGAGAAAATCAAGCAATACTTTACTCATAAACCCAATAATGTTTAGCAGAAGATTCAATAATTCAAAGGGAAACCATTTGGCTCTTACACTTGACAAGCTCAGCCCTGCTTGTCGGCTCTGTGATGTTTGGCACATAAACAGGAATCTTTTCTGTAAAATAAGACATTACTTTTAAAACACCCTCACTAGTTATAGAAAGAGTAAAAAGAAGCTTATGCAAGTCCATTACCTTGATTGGTTTTCTCATTCTTGTTGGATATTATTTTTCCCTAAAAAAAAGTAAAGGTCAAAGGTTAAATTGCAAAAATGTTGAGAGTTGTTTCTTGTTTCACCCAAACACATCACACTACACAGTGGATATTTCCTGTTAAATGGCCTGACGAGAACCACAAACTGTATCATGCCTTTCCAAATGTTTTAAGTGTCAGTGTCATATTATGAAATCTCAAACCTTCATTAAAATGTATTTAAAAGTTCCCCTCTATAATCTTTAAGGTTTTCAAACATTATAAAGATGGTTGTCTTGGCAAAATATGGTTTCAAGTCCAGAAAACAGTTCCATTTAAAAGGCACACCATGTACTGCCTTGTTTGGCTTTTGTCTCACTTTGGTTTAACACATATCCCTCGGCTATTTCACTAAGTGAGATTATCCTGTCCTGTTTAGACACATTCTAAGTTATAATCGAAGGAAACCCAGAAATGAAACGATCGAATAATTTCAAATGGGCCATTGTATAAAAGATGTCTTTTAAATGCAAGTCCTAAAAGAAGAGTTTTACATTGTGTCAAAGTTGCTGTACCTGGTTTGTTGGTCTCTCTCAGGATTACTGCAGAATTGCGTCTAGCTGGCATCTTGAGGATGTGCGCCTATAATCGAAATCCACATGCTTCCAATTACTTTAATTCTTCCTATGTTAAGGTGCAAAGTCTTCCACTTGACTTTTATAGCCTCCGCGGGGAAGAGACAGGGGGGCTAGAGGAGTGTCTAGGGGAGGTGTTGGAGGTCAGTGGAGCAAATTCCCAGCAGGGGATGTATGAAATGAGGCTAGAGCAGGAAGCTGACACCCCTGAAACTTTAGGAGTGTGGTCAGAAAAGCAAGAAGAAGGTTGCACACATGACTGGAAGTAAGATTCAGAAACTGATCTTGTCAGTGTTGTCAGCACGAGCAGTACGGACGGAAGCAGCCCCATTTTTTTTTTTTAAAGACACCTCAGTCAGACTGTGAAAACCTTGTCAAACTATGTGACAAATAATGATAGATGACCACTTGACATATTGTGTTTCAGTCTTTGGACTCTGGTCAAACAATCTGTGGTGCATTGTCAAAACAGCATGGTGCAGCAGCAACCACATGTAAAAGTTCAACAGTGCACAGTTTTGTCAAAAAGTTAAGAACACTCACTAAGAGGTTTTATTAACTCCTTTGTTTATTCCCAGTATTGTTTTAGGTTTAATAATAATGAACCAATCCAATCAGATTTAATTGCTAATTTTAGATTGATTAGGATTAGGACTCCTTTAACCCCTCTTCTCCTGAAACAATATACACAGAACACGCACATACCCCTGTATAAAATACGGTGATGTGTGAATTGTAGTTACATTTGCTTGTGCGATCCAACCAGAAAAAGAACAAGCTACGTTATTTTTAGTTATATTAATAGCTGCTTGAGTGTGTAAGAGACTGTTGGCCAGAGGGAGAGTTTGTGTTGGCCTCCGGCTGAAGTTTTGGCCTGTGCGGGACTGGAGCAGGAATCTCCCTAAGATGAAGTGGATGTAACCGCCTTGTCTTCTGGCATCTCCAGAATTGCCTCATAAATCATAAAGCAGCAAAATGATGTCAGTAGACACAGGGAGATAGAAGCTCATTGTTTCTTCATCATGTCACTGTCTGTATAATAAGCAGTGACTTTAGACCAGGTTTTTGTTGTACAGTGGTGTGGCTTTCTGTTCTCTCAAGCTATCAATGCACTGCCTGCTACACTCCTAGTTATCAGACCAACCTGCACCTGGGCACAAGTTCTGTACATTTTCTGCTAGATTACTACTGGATCCATAATAAGACACCTGCAAAAAAGCAAAGGTTGTCTAAGAATAAGCTTTATTTTGTAGATGCATAGTAGCCGCATAGGTGCAAAACTGGGTTCCCATATGCAACTCTGTCACGTAGTGTTTCATTATTCATATACTAGATAACCCTATACAGTTTCAATTGGTACTGCAGTCAAAATTCAAAACACTGGAGAGAGCTGTCTCTCCAGTGTCCCGCCCCCTCCTCCCTTGCCATGTTGCCAACAGTGAAGCTTCAGTGTTTAGCTAGCTGGTCTTGGTCTTGAAACCTTTCTGCGTTCTTACCTATCTTCATTTTTTCAAAAGCTTCTCCAATATGTATCCTTCTTTTTCCACAATTCTGATCATGGAGCTTTTTAGACAACGCCAAGGCCTTGTAGGTCATTTTGATTCAGTAATACCTGAACCAGTTCACTTTCCCTCTTCCATTGACACAACTTGTTGGTTGGCCGTGATAACTGCTCTCATATCTGGCAAACTGAGTGGCGTCCAAAACGGCCATGTGGGGCTGCCTTAAAAACGCCGAACAAACAAAAACAGACCATTTCGGACCGGAATCTAAAGTTAGAAGGCGGACATACTGGCTGCTGCTTTGTTGTCAGAGAAGCCAGCACTTCAACATAACATGTTTCCTTAATGTCTGATCATATAGTAAGGGTCATTTTATGAATGAATTTAGTTGATATCTTACATATTACTCCTTTAAGTATGTTTATGTGCTTAAAAAAAATACAGCTGCAATTAGTGTTGGGACAAAATATCAATATGGCAATCCAATTTGTTAACATGATAAAATGTCTCAAAGTAATCTGCTAATACCAAACCAAGACAAAATGTGTGTTGCTCTTAAGTCATTGTTTTATTTATTATTCACACTTTTGCAAATGTAACATTCTTTATACATCTATACCAAACTAGATAACCTTACACAGTGTTATCAAACAATAACAATGAAGGAATACAAATACATACATATAGCTTTGAGTGGTCCAGTGGGTTAAGGAAAGTCTAAAAACAGTAGAGGGTTGAATCCCAACTTATCTCATCCTTGATTGTTCTTTAATCAAAACACACCTACATATGTTTTAAAGATAATGCTGTGTGCAAAGGATTTATGCAGCCTAAATCATGATGGTTATTGTTTTAATGGCATGGAAGACAAAGTTAACCTTACCATGTTGCTGTTGTCCAGTCATCTTATGTGTAAAGCTGCCTCAATGATAGCTTTAATAATATAGAAACAGATAGTTTCACCTTATAATATGAAAATATAAGTATAGTCAGAATTTATTCCTCCTGCTTTACAATCAAACAGTGTGACTGTGTCCCCACCCAGAAACCTGGTATCATCTTCTCCTTAAAGGTGCTCTTAATCTGCTGCAAAAGTTTAACCTCCTTTCCCCCTGTGCTCTCCTCTCCCTCCTTCACCTCCTCCACAGCGTAGAAATTTAGGACACCAGCAGGCTGGTCAAGGTAAACACCAATTGTGGAGGACTTTGAAACATCTGGGATCTCTACACTCTGGCTGTTATGCCAGGCATAATAGCTCGAGCCGCTCCAGCCCAGACCCCAGGACTCCTCGTTTTCACCCAGGCCACAGGCTCCTTGGCTGTTCCTCCTCCCTGCTCGTTCGTATGCCACCCCAATCACCACCCATCCTGTGTACTCGGCCTCCCAGTAGCCCCTGAAGCCCAGGATGCCTTCGTTGCAGAGAACCTTTTGGTAAAGGGATGAGAAGGACCGCATGAATCAGAGGTGAGGTAATCTAACAAAAAGTGTGATTTATTGTAGCTGCCACTTCGGAGAATTTAGAGCAGCTTCGCTTTCTCCGCAATGCCAAACCAGTTGCCTCCAGATTTAAATAAACACTGGGGGAAGGGGGGGGGGGGGGGGGGTTGGGCTTAGTTCCATAAAACTGTTGCCTGGGTTTCACAATCTTGTAAAACTCCTCCAGCTCTGGCGGTGATGGCAAGTTCTTGGCACATGAAAAAATGTTGTTTTTAAAAAAAAAATTCATACTTTATTCATATCTTCATATTTTACCTGTGGTGCGTACTCGTATCGCTCTGCTCTATCCAAGACAGGACAAGTGACCTCATCTGTCATTCGGGCCACCTTTGTCCCGCCCTCTGTGATCCAAAGCATCTTATTTGCTGTTTTGTCATCCAGGGAAAGGTTAAACCAGTCTAAAAAAACATAGAAACACACAATGATTTACAGAAAAGAATGTGTTCAGACCAAAGAACAAGATGGGTAAGATTGTAAGAATCTTACGTTTGATGAGATCAGCTCTGCATGTCGGTTCAGGAATATTTGGCTCATATGATGGTATCTTCTCTTCTCATGTCAGAGCAACAACAGTGAAATGTCAGACAAGGTCAGGAAAACTCTGAATAAAAGAGAACTGTGTCTATCCTTTTAACTTTTAACATGTACAAAGGTTGCTGTATTACCTGTGGGTTTGTTTCCAGCTTTGGATTTTTTTCCTACAGAAAGGGGAAAAAAATTGAGACAAAAATGTGTTTTTGCAACAGTAACCTATATTCAAGGCCACATACTTGGCTGTTATAAATCCTACAGTATAGACAGCGGTATGTGTCAGGTGTGTCTCAACTTCTGATGAAGTGAGACACTTAGAAAACTTGCGGTTATATTTAGAAAACCATCTGTCTCTGTCACATCATCACATCAGCAAGTTCATGCTTTTGTGGAGCCATCGGTTGATTCATGCCAGGCAGCGAGGAAGATCTGGACACCTCTCATGCTGCAGGGGTCGAGTGCAGTCACCCTGGAGTACAGAGTGTGAAGCCCAGAGGTAGTTAATCAGGTAAGAAGAGCAGGATGATGTGCTAGCTAAGGCCAGATAAGTTCAGATATATCCAACATGTTTCCATTGGCGTTTAAAACAACAAGGGAGCATAGAGTCAGCAAAATTGACAAATAACGTGCTTGAAAAGGCTAAAATAAGAGTTAGTTTTAAGTGTATTGAACTTAAGCTGCAACATAAGCAACTTCTTCATCCATAAACATAAATATAGATAATTAAAGGAGCGATGAATAATTAGTCTATTAGCATTAACTTTTAAAATTAAGCTTAGCTAATGGCTTCCTTGTGCATTCCTAGAAATAATGATTGATTGATTTTTTCTATAAAGTAATTGATTTATTACTGTTGCATAACAATCTTAAGCCCTTGTGCCAATTGAGTAACTGAATCTTTGGTATCATGTGTAAGTCTGCAGTCTCCAGATGGAGATCAAAAAGAATAGACACCTAATCCTGTCAGCATTAAGATGTCAACATCGACTAACATAACGTGTGTTTTATTTATACCAACCATCACATCCAAAATAAATGACCTGTTTTGTTCGCACATCAGCATCATCTCTGAATGTGTGAGCCTTGGCAGGCAGGGAAAACTACAAAGTTCCTGACTTTGACGGAAATAAACCGTAGGAATGTTTTTGTAGGTTCTGTAGATGTAAGAGTTCAAGGTGAGGCTGCACTCGACAAGAACAAGTAAATCTAAATGTCATAATTTCGCCCATTTTTTCAAACCAAACATCTATTTTTGCGCCACTCAGTATGCATGTCAGATCCCAGTGAGCTGATATTTATCTCTATGTTTACTGGAGGTTGACAGACGGCATGTAGGAATGTTAAACCACCTGTCTGGATTTAGCAAAAGGTGACGGAAGGAACTGCCCTGTTTGGCTTCATTACAGCTTGATACAATACAAAACATTAAAGCTTTAAAGCTGCATCAAACCCCAATGGTGCCGACCTACATGGGGCGTGTTAGTCAAGTTAAGAAGGGATTTGAATAAATATTTTGATAATGGGTTATTACATGCACTCATTGTATTTTTAGATTAAAGTGAGTGAGAAGAATTGCATCAAAGTTGTTTTTGAACTTGATTCCTATCATTTAAAGCTACTAACACAGTATAGTACATATAAAATAAAACTAAAGTCAAATCTATTTTAAATGACAGTAAAGTAGCTGTGAGATGTCTATACTCCATGCCATGTTATAATAACAGTTTTAAGTCCTTGAATTAATACAAGATGATATGTATTATTGCAGCGAATGCTTACTGAAGACACAGTCTGAATCATAGTATACACACAGCTTAAATATATAGACATTGTGAAATCTTTAAAAATGCAGATAATGTTGACACTGTAAGAGCCGCTCTCCAATGCAGTAAAACCATGACATGCCCTTCATTACGACAAGCATGAAATTCAGCCAATGAAATATGGAGCTTTGCACACAGACATCTGTATAGACACTTACACAAACCGCAGCAGGCACAGGCTGAGGTTATTAAATCAGTCATTTTAAAGCTTTACTGTATAAATAATAATATCTACATTACAACCATCAATTTATAGCCCTACTGCAATAACAAGTAAAGGTTAAATTTGACAGAAAAAAGATTGAGATTCAATTATGAAACATTTGGAATGGATATGCTCTCGCAAAATCTTAATAGAAAAACAAAAAAACAAATCGTAGGATAAAATTCCAGCATGGATGAATTGTGAAAAAAAAAGAAAATAAATGTCACCTTTTTCTGACGTCCGAGTGTCAAATATGATCATGGTGGGGGTGGGCATGTTGATAATGTCTCTTTAAGCTTTTCCAGTTAGGCTGTCTGATGAATGAGGCGTCCCTGGAGGCTCCTCTGGGAGATCCCTCGATGACACTCTTATATAGCTTTAATTTAGGACATAGGGGAAGGATGCAGGTGGCATGGAAGTGAACGTGAGATTAAAGTAAGGAGGGGTTAAGGTGAGGGGCTTGTAACTGGACCTGTGTGTGTATATACAATTTTCCTTAAAAAGGTTGGATGGACGCTTCGATGTCTGTGGGTGACCCCCTGTTACCAGGAAAACCCCACCCACATGCACCATACATCTCTACCACTGATCTTCCCACATTGCACAGTGACAGCAATGATGCATTGATGGTGGATATAGCTGATGTATTCACACACACACACACACACACACACACACACACACACACACACACACACACACACACACACACACACACACACACTGAGAATGCAGCTGCAAAGATTTAAATCTTCATTGGAGAGTTCCTGCTGTCAACCGCTAAGCAGTATGTTGTTTAACATGAACAAAGGCATGTCATAATGTTAAAGTACGATTATGTAACTTTTTAAAAACATTTTTGAAATAAAAAAGAATTTCAGGAATTATCTATATGATGACATAACGTATTTAAGAATCTCCTACAGGGTAATTAATTAAACATCGTTATTTTCCTCAATTCTTTCATTAAACATTCATTCATGTTCATTTCATTAATTTCATTTATTAAACTGTATTCATATCCTGAGATAATGTGATTTACAAATGAATTTCAATATGTATACAATATCAGACAGTCTCTCTGTCCAACTAAATTTTATAGAAAGTTTCTAAGAAAAAAATATCTAAATATCTTAATAACTTGTTTAATATTAACTTGTACTTTTCACAAAATCCCATGGCAACCTTCAGTCATCAATAAACTGCTAAACTAGACTTGGAACCAGATAAATCTGCAGGCTCAATTTTACTTGCCCTGGCACATGCTTCCTGTTCCTATCCAGTTTAGACAGATTTCCCTCTGACCTGATTCAGGTCAGACCAATCACTACTGGGTATCTAATGACTGTCTGTCAGAGGAGCCCGGTTGGGGAAGCTTTGTAAACTAGAAGATTGCCAGGCCTGGACTGGCAGTCTTACAATTTAGCAATTTCCAGATGGGTGGGTCCATCCAGTGTGTCCCAAGGCGACAACCAGCAATGAGAAAAAAAAAAAAGATATGCAAAAAAGAATAGGTCTCCTGGTTACATCAAATTTGTCCATATGGCTCCTTTAAAAGCAAGGCAGGATTAAAAACATTGAAAGCCCTTCTAGTGGATCCATCCATGTAATGTCAAGGGTTTGGGTGAAAATAGTAACATTACATTAAGAAAAATAGCACAAAGTTGAGTTCACTATTGCATCAGAATAATACAAAATAAAACTGTGGATTTGGTCATTTATTGAGTATTCACCACCAAATCATATTTTAAACTTGGGTTGCACACTCAATCACAATTTGGTTTTAAACTCAGTAGGAACATTCACAATAAACACATCATAAAAGTCTTGATTGAGCCCAATAAATAAGACCAATTATTTTTATAATTTAAAATTGGCGGTACAGTATGTGAACATTTGACCAATTAGATGAAGACCTGTGTATAGTGGCTATTCTTTCATACCATTTTCATGCAGTCAGATTACACCAAAGCTAGTTACGACCCACTGAGCTCTAGCTTGGATTCCAGCATTGAAATTAGTTTTTTTGTTTTTTTAAAGAAAGTGTGAAACTGGGTCTGTCAATCCAAGACATATTTTAAATTTTTCATCCGACTTAAATACATTTATAACATTAAATACAATAGTTTTCCTGACAATTTGATGGTTTGATAATTTTACATTTAGGCATTGACAGAGTGGAAAAAAATGATGATTGTAGTGCGATTTCTCCAGACTTAGTTTCAACCCATTTGATTTTTCCATACAAAAATGTTAAAAAAGGCCCTTTATGAGTTGAATCAATTATGAGTTGTAATCAGTCAATCTTATTTTATTAGCCCTGATTCGTAACAAATGTTGTCTAAGACACACTTTACCAAAAGACTTTACTCTTTGTTGATTTTTACAGAGACCCCCCCCCCCCCCCATTAATTCACCATCAGTACAGCACTTGGAAATATTTAGCATAAACAGTGGTAAGGAAAAACTGCTTTTCAGAGGCAGAAATCCCAAGCAGAACCAGACTCCTGTTGTACCGCCTTCTGCCGCAGCGGTGTTGGGCTTATGCTGCTACTCTGTGATATTAACAAGAAGGTTCAAAGACATGGTAGAGAGATTTTAAAGCATTCCCAACATGAGTACAGTAATGACTACGTAGGCATAAAGACCCTTTGGAGCTGACGTAGCTACTTAGTCCATGACAGGAGAAGGTCTTTCTGGAAATGTTGGTGGCTGACAGTGCAGAGCCTCCGACTTGAATGCAAGCTGTTGTGAGTTCTTAACCAAGCTACTTCTGAATGAATGTTTTTTTCTTTTGTAACTGATGCACATTGCACGTCTACGGCCATTTAAGCCGCTATGAATATGAAATGCATACTGAAAATCCATTGGGACATTTCCCAGTGGCCTGAGGGTCTATTTGGCCTGCAGTGAGTAGTCAATGTGAACACTGAGAGTGGCTGAATAGAATGCAAACATCATGCAAGTGCGACTCTGGTTGGTTCTGTTGTGGTCAGCGAGTTGCCGAAGTTTCCCGACAATAAGTTTGCGATTGATATCGTTTAAGATAACATCCTAATTTTTGTTTTAACAATGTGCAAAATTACGGTTGCATAATGAGTGACATACTAGATAGAGTCCACACACATTCACTGCATGTCATCCAGTCTAGTAGGGCAGACTACTACTATCACAACAAGCTAAGATAGCGTAGCTGCCTGCATGACTTAAGTAAAAAATGAGTAAACGAACAGTGCCAGGAGACAGTAAACAAACACCACCAGCCTCAATCCACAATCATTGGCTCATGGGGACTGAGAGGCCCGTGATGGGGTCAAACTCCCAGCCTGAATTATTATCCTAGTCCGCCCCTGCAGCCCAGTAACCTCAATAATGTCACAACTTTGTGCCACTTGATTGAGGGTTCCTCGGTTCATCATAACAGGCTGAGCTACGCTCTTGACCTGCATTATTCCATCAATCATTTACATTTACAAATACTTGAATGAACATGGCACAGGTTAAAAGAAAGAGCATGTCGCTGGTCGTAAACCTTTTCTTGTGATACGCTCTCCTCTCGCCTGAGGTGTTTACTGCGCCGGCCCCGTGCCAAAACCTCCTGCTGAGAAGGCCTCCTCAGGTTCCTGCCTGCACAAGCAGATGACTGCAGCGCTGATTACAGTGAAACACCTACTAAAGATACCAGAGGACTTTAATGTCAGAATTGTCCTAGACTGACCACTGGGATTAAACAGGGATATAGTAAGACAGAGTTTGCATTTCGGTTCTTCCTAACCTCCTCTCACAAGTTTTTAAACACGGCTGACAGTTGAGTAATTCCTGCAAAAAGGCCGAGCTGGGATCCTTTTGGCTTGTTGAGCTGGACGGTCAAGGCCTTGACAAACATTCTTTACCTTTAAGAAAGTCTATAAATAAGAAAATGTTTGTTAAGAATGTTTTTTTTTTACTTAATGAAAAAAGGAAAGAAAATCCCATTTTACTTTTGCATGAAGGATGTAAGACATAGTTACATCTGAACAAGTGAACCTTTTGTGTCTTTACTTGTTATGTCTTGTACATTTCTAAGTAGTGCTTTTTCTTCAATCATTATTTGTACAGCGCCAATCCACAACAGGTGTTAACTCGAGACTCTTATCAAAAGGGATAGGGGGAGATCCTGTTGTCCATACATCCTTGCCGCTGAGGTGGAGGTCGGAGCAGGCCGTGCATGAATGAGTATGGCGGTGGTTGTGGGGACGACACAGTCCAAAGTTGGTGGCTGGGCGTCAGAAGTTTTTGTTTGTTAATAATAAAGCAAGATGAGATATTTTGTCGAACAGAACAGTCAAATGTGTGATCGATTGAGGACCTCTGCTGTGGAAATTTAAAAAACAGTTTGGCAGTGTGCAGTGAATCACTTTCACCCTGTGGCAGTGGGTAGATGTAACAGACTTTCTGCTTATGATAGTTATGAAGAATATAAAAATCGAAGAATATCCTGATAATATCGTAGTGAATCCAAATTGTTACGCGTACAACAAGCATGGCAGAAAGTGAAAGAAGCGGCTCCACGGTGGATGAGTTAGTTCCAAAAATGGGTGTGACTTCAGTAGTGTGGAATCGGTTTGGTTACAACAGCTGAGACCTACAACAAACCACAGTAATATGTAAGAAGTGCAAGAAGGCTGTAACAACAAACCCATCAAACTTACTTCACCACCTCTAACCTGAGCACTCAAAGGAGCACAATAACAATGTGCTTAAATGATATGCTATTAAAATTAATAAATACAAAATTCATATTTTCTATATATTTTTCAGTCATTTATCTCAAAACCACAAATAAATATTGTGATATACTTTTAGGGCCATATTGCTGACCCCTAGCTGATGATGTTAATTGCATTTGTAGGTAATAAAGAGGCATCAGTATTCATTCGAGTTGTTTTTCCAAACCACTTAAAACTCCACAGAAGCTTTAAAGAGAGGAAAAACAATTAAAATTACAATTAAAATCGAGAGGTCAAATCAAGCAACTCTTAGTGTATAACAAGAGATGAACTTCTAACACCTAATTAACTATCTTATCTCTCCATCACATCCATAAAAGGCTTCGTCTTTACAATCTTACATAACCCTTTATTCTTTAAAGGATCACCACATTCCTGAAAAAGGTATCTCGAAATATGAGTGTTTGATTCCAAAGAGACTACAGGATAATTGTTGAAGTAAATTCAGATCTCCTCAGATAAACATGGGTCAGCGGGTCAGGGGCGGTGCTGCCCAGCACATCCTGGCCTGGCAAGCTCCGTGGCACGCCCATTACTGAGCTCATTATCTCTACATACCTTACAAAAAGTTCTCTGAGAGATCCCAAAGGGGCCTCCAAAACCTTTAATACCCCCATTTCCTGGGTGTATATAAAGAAGGCTTTTGCATCACTGTGGCAGAATGCTGCTGCTAGACGCTAACATTTAGGGAACCCGGACACAACACTGAGCGATAAAGATGCCAACCAGTGCTCCTGATAAAAGAATCCTGCCTGCCACTGGCAGACCTGGTGAGTGATCAATTCTTTTATTAACTATCAGCAGATTATATATGTCTGCATGCTCTTTAGATTACTGCAGAATTACAAACTTGTGGTAGTTTGATGGAATGTTTTTCAATGAGTTTTCTTGAGCCATAATGCATACTAGTGAAGGTTTTATATACTTAAGAATTAAATCAGTGAGGTTAACTTTGACAGCTTGAACTGTTTTTAATCAAAGAAACTGACACTTTTTTTAAAGCAGGTTTGAATACTGAAAGTATAAAATGTCTATAAATCAAAACCAAAGTATCAAATTAACACAGAATAACTGTTTAACTTTATTGTTTTGTATTTTTCAGTTCAGGTTTTAAAGAGTTAAAAGTAAAAGAACTTCCTAAAAGCCACTGCTTTTCCATGTCGCTGTATAATGCTGTCACTCTCTTCAAGCAGAAAATATCCCAGAGTATGATTCTAACATCCCTGAGCCCACATGCAGAGCTGATCTTCTAAAATGTAAGAAAAACAAAACAAAAAAGCCTACTAACTTTTTTCCTCACTCATGATGTGAGAATGAGCTTTTCTTTCTGACTGTCAAATCTTCCACATCTACCAGATTGGATCAATCTGTCTTTTGATGACAAGACAGCCAATAAGATGTTGTGGATCACAGAGGGTGGAACCAAGGTGTCGCGAAAGACTGATGATGTCACTTGTCCCGTCCTGGATAGACCTGAGAGATATGAACACGCCCCCCAGGTTGGTTTTAAGTCCCAAATTCGGACATTACATCCCTTTTTTCATCCTTAAATGACTTAATTACTCCTTTTCTTTCTTTAAGGTTCTCTGCAAGGAAGGTATCCAAGGCTTCCGAGCTTACTGGGAGGTGAAATATTCAGGATGGGTGGTGGTCGGAGTAGCCTACGAGGGGGCAGGAAGGAGGGGGAGTGACGGACCCTGCGGGCTAGGAGAAAATGAACAGTCCTGGGGTCTAGGCTGGGGTGGATCCCACTACCAAGTGTGGTCTAATGGCGTCAGCACAGAAATCTGGGATATACCTCAGTGCTTCACTATTGGGGTGTACCTTGACCATCCAGCTGGTGTAATCAAGTTTTACGCAGTCAATGATGTGATGGAGGGAGAAGAGAGCGGAGGCACACAGGAGATCAGGCTGCTGCAGCAGATAAAATGCTCCTTTAAGGGTAGGATGATGGCGGGTATCTGGGTCGGACAAAAGTCATCATGTGTCTTAGTCAAGCATGAGGAGTAATATAAAATGAGTCAGATTTCCTTTAACCATTATATTACATTTCCATTTGAATCTCGTTTACAAAAAAACTGAAACATGTCAAATCTCCAAATTATCATATTTTAGAAAAATGCATGGATAAAAATCTTTGTATATAGAAAAATGAAAATCATGTTTATTGGTGTCATAAATCTTGTAACATAGTGTGTTGTATTTTCTCTAAGAAAAGTTATGTTCTTTCATTTTTAAGTCAGTATTTTGTTTTTCTTCATTTAAATGAAATAAAGTTGTAATTCCACATACAACATGAGTCTAAAAGTGTGAATTGTCTTTTATTATATAGGTACCTCCTTTATGTAGTCACAACAATATGTTACTTGATTTATAATTTAATGAACATTACATGGGTAGTTCATGGAATCGTATTGCTATCAGTGTCACTCATTTTGAAATGTTATCCACAAACATGAAGACAAATCAGCTGGAGCAACTAAAAGGTCAGCCACAACATCTACAGATTCTCTAGGATTGTAGCAGTGCTAAAGTTGATGCAACATCCAAATATTTTCTAAATTAACCACGCTGTGACAGTTTTTTTATTACTTTTCAGATAGCTCTGGAAAATATTTTAAAGAGAGGAGAAACAGGACTTGGTTTTGGACTCCTGCGTCGCTTTGCATTATGCTGGGGCGATAAATCATGATTTATAAATACAAGCTTACAGCATAGCAACGTATATCCATCAACGTTATGTGAAGCATTCAAAATGTACTTTACCTTCAGCTGCTCTGGATCTTTCATTCTTCACCTTCCCCTGTTAACACTGAGCCGGTGAGCCACAGGATTACGTTGGAGGCATGAAAGCAGATCTTGATAGGCAATAAACAGGATCCCATGTAAGCTCACATACAGGCTAAATGAGGGCGTATCAATGGAGGAGCGCTGATGTCATGCAAGACAGATGATGTAGAACAAAACAAGTTCAAATGGAATTTGTTTTTTTGTGGGCTTTTTACAATATTGGACTGACAAGATCAGAAATGAGTTTTCCACAACCTGCAGACACAACTGAACATGTGACAAAGAAAATAGCAGTGAATAATTATACATCCAAAAAATATATTTTATGTATGATTGAGGTAACAGATAAGCCATTAAACACGACCATATAGCCTAAAACTCTCTAATTTGTAAAGACGTCCTGTTTGCCAAGCCAAACCATACTGACATCATCAATGCCATACAGAATATCAATAATGGATTAAAAATTTCACCCTCAATGTAACGAAGACAATATTGCAGAAGGCCGTATTTACATCACATACACGAATGATTTTTGCAACAGAATGTGTGATACACTACTCAGAGAAACTAAAGAAATGGACATCACTTACATCTTTTTATAACCAAGACAGTAAAGCAAAAGTAAAATAGTGCAGGGTTGTATTTGTTCAGTATGAGATGGGAGACATTATGTAGCAATCACAATCCTTACAACAAAAATATCTAGCTCGACAAAATACAACTTTCATGGTTAACCTTGTTGTTAAAGTACTGCATGTGTGCAGTGGAGCACTTAAGGCAAAGCATTTGCTGCTCTTTGAATAATTTTAAATTTAAGAAAAAAAGTTTAGACTTTTCAATACAGTTTGTAATGATGAATAAATACCCCAATCCTATGATTCCTTTCATAAGTCAATGATTAGAAATATTTATTTAATTCTCTCTTCCTTGTGCAAGACTGCATTTTCATGTTAAGAGACACTTCAGTGACAGGTTTTTATTTTTCTGTTGAGAAGCCACCCCCTCATCGTCTATGCAAGGAAAACTTTGTCTTTGGCTCCCCCCACTGGCTCACACCAGTATAACAACAAGTTGAGCCAACATGTGCCTCGCTAGAAATACCCTGAGGACTTCCTCACTTGTTAGACCACCCACTGTCCAGTTATTTAGGGTTTTATATACTTAAGAAGAGAACGCAAAGAATACTGTCCGGTACTTCTCTGCATTATAAAAACACATAGGGAGAAAGCGGACCAAGAATTGCCTCATGTATCAAGGTGTACCAGTGTATGAGCCTACGGGTCTCCAAAGCAGGCCATCCAACCCGAGAGTACAACTCACAATGGTGAGTCAGAGCTCTACAATTTGTAATGAACCTCAAGGATGCATGGTAGGCAGTATCAACCATATGGAGACACTGAACAGAGGCGTGCATGTACAAAAGATCACCATAATCTAAAACAGGTAAAAAAGTTGCAGCGACAAGCCATTTTTTACATTAAAAGAAAAACACAACTTGTTTCTAAAATAAAAACCCAATTTTAGCCTCAGCTTTTTCACACGACACAACTCATGTGGTTTAAAATGAAGGGAGTCATCAATCAAAATACTCAGGTATTTGTAAGAGTGTACAACCTCAATTTCCTTTCCATCAACTGTAGAAAGCACAGGAACATTTTGTGACCTGGTCTTTGATCTGGTAAAAAACAGAAGCTTGGTCTTATCTGTGTTTAAAACAAGTTTCAGTTCATGCAGTGTATTTTGAAGGACAACAAAGGTATTTTGCAAATTTTCAACAGCTTGTGCAAGAGATGCAGCACAGCAGTACACAATAGTGTCATCAGCATAAAAATGTGTTGTAGCATTTGACACATTTTGACCAAGATTATTTACATAAATGGTAAATAAAAGTGGACCTAATACAGAGCCCTGCGGCACACCCTTGTGGACAGCTATAATATCTGAGCATAAACCATCAGATCTAATGCACTGCGACCGACTGCTAAGATAGTTAGAGAACCAAGAAACAGCTTCTTCTGAGAGTCCTGAGCTCAGAAGTCTAAATTTTAAAACATCATGGTCGACTGTGTTAAAAGCTTTAGACAAATCAATAAAAAAATGCAGCACAGTGTTGTTTCTTGTCAAGTGCTACAGAAAAGTCATTTACCACTTTCAGCGCAGCTGTGACAGTGCTATGCCTTATTCCGAAACCTGATTGATAAGGTGATAAAATATCATTGGTGTATAAAAACTCCTTTAGCTGATCACTCACGAGAGATTCAAGGATTTTAACCAGTACTGATAAAATTGATATAGGCCTATAGTTGTTCAAAATACTTGGGTCACCCCCTTTCAATAAAGGGAGGACAAAGGCAGACTTCCATATCTTTGGAATTTCCTTATAAATCACTGTCAGGTTAAAAAGATATGCAAGCGGCTCTGCTACAGAATCAGCTGCTAGCTGCTAGCTTCAAGAAATAAGGATCCAACAAGTCTGGTCCTGAAGGTTTTCTAGGATCTAGCTTTTTTAAGGCCTTATGAACATCCTGCACAGAGAAGGGCACAAAATTGAAAGACTGACCTGTATACACTGACACATCAGTACTGGTCTTCACAGATGTAGAGCGAGCTGAATCAAACAGGGATCCATTAATATCATTTTTGTCATGAATAGCAACAGAATCATTCATAACAAAAGTGGGTAAAGCTGGAGAGTTCTTGCTGACAGAAAGAAATTTTATAACTTTCCAGAATCTTCTCGGGTCATTTAAATTTTTTGTAGTGACAGACGAATAATACTCAGATTTGGCTTTCTTGATAAAAGAGCAACATTTGTTTCTTAGTTCTCTAAAAGCAATCCAATCAGTAGTATAACCTGTTGCACTTGCCTTTGCCCAGGCCAGGTTTCGTGAATGAGTAGTTTCTGCGAGTTCCAGGGGTTATCACGCCCCTTAACTCTGTATCTCCTGAAAGGTGCATGTCTATTTAAAATGTGCATAAAGCCATCATTAAAAAAAGTCCATGCCATCTCAACATCAGGGATCTGTTCTATTCTACTCCAGTTCAAACGAAACAAATCATGATTAAACCCCTGTTCATTAAAATGTTTTAGATCCCTCTTTAAAAGTATACAGGGTTTTGATTTAGGGATTTTAGTGTTTCTGTTTGCAGCAACAACAAAATGGTCACTCAAATCATTGCAAAAAACACCAACAGCTGAAAATTTATGAGGAACATGAGTTCTTATTTATAGCATTTATTTATATTTATTGCATCCCATTAATCCAGCCATCCAGATATACCTCATAATTCACTTTTTTTGGCTACATCTGTAAATTTTGCAATTACTGTACATAGCACAGAATTACTGTACATAGCACAGACTCTTGCACTCAATTACTGTACATAGCACAGACTATTGTACTTTCTGCTTATTTGCACTTCTGGTGAGATGCCAAACCTCATTTCGTTACTCTATACTTGTATATGTGTAATGACAATAAAGTTGAATCTCATCTCATCATCTCATCTCAAGATCAAATCAATGAGGGTCGATCTCTCAGGGTTTTTATGATTTGGGCGAGTTGGTGAATTAATCAACTGGGTCAGGTTGACAGAGTCACAAAAAGGTTTAAAATCATCAGATACTGGCTTGAGCCAATCCCTGTTCAGATCACCTGTTAAAACAATTTCATTATAGTTTAATCTTGATATAAGTTGCATCAAAGACTGCAACACATCAATCACGGCAGATGGAGGCCCATAACAACCAACAACAGTTAGACTGAAATCCTTAGACATTTCTAAACTCACTGCCCGAGATTCCAGTTGTTTGGGAATCGATTCAGACAGAATTACCCGAGCATGAAATTTTGATTTAACACTAAATGTTGTTAAAAAATCACTTTACATTGAAATATTTTTTTACCACCATCACAATCGGTTTCCATTATTAATAGTTCATACGAAACATAAAAAGAAACATGAGCAGGGGCATTGATGGCCTACTGGTTAGTTTAGCAAACCCATGTATGGCGGCTGTTGTCCTCGAAGCAGGCGGAACGGGTTCGTATAAAACCTGTGGCTTCTTTCCTGCATGCCATACCCCACTCTCTCTGATTTCTGACTCTATCCACTTTCTGATCTCTGTAATAAAAGTGTAGTGGAAGAATACTATCTGTAAATACTAAGATTAGGATGATCGTGCGTCATTTAGCAATTAGAAACTGTTTCTCTGTATGGCCTTGGTCTGTATCTCCAACAGGAACGCTCCTCAGGATCTGGGTACAGCATGACCTTAGATCAGTACCTTCCTGACAAAGGAGTTTCTGTTGGTGTTCTTCCATACCAGGTGCCTTATAGAAGCTTGCATAGATAAATCACCAGGCAAACTAGCAGAAGGCGTAGTCACTAGGGC